AGTGATGTAGACCATTTTAGCAACAAGCGGAACTAAGTCCAATGCCATGAATTCCTACCCTTATAGGCCTCTGACCCATAAGAGTCCTGCTCTTTTTAAGAGGAGGGAGGAGGTGGGGGTAGAGGGGTGAGGAGGGGTGGAGTTTCCTAGGGAGGACTGGTCTTTAGGCACTCAGTCTAGGAGGTGGAATGTTTAACAGATCACTGACACTGGTGGTTTTAACACTGACATTAAAAACACAGCCCCAACCACTTTACAGCCATTAGGATGGCTATTATCAAACAAACAAACAAAAATAGAAAATAACAAGTGTTGGTGAGAACGTGGAGATATTGGAGCCCTCGTGCACTGCATGTGGGATTGTAAAATGGTACAGTCGCTATGGAAAACGGTATGGAGATTCCTCAAAAAATTGAAAGTAAAACTACCATATGATCCAGCAATTCCACTTCTGGGTATGTACCCCAAAGAATTGAAAGCAAGGACTCAAACAGATATTTGTACACCCACGTTCACAGCATTATTGTGCACAATAGCCAAAAGGTGGAAGCAACCCAAGTGTCCATCCATGGATAAATGGATAAACACAATGTGGTCTATACATACAATGGGCTATTATTCAGCCTTTAAAAAGAAAAGAAATTCTGGCACACGCTACAACATGGATGAACCTTGAAGACCTTATGTTAAGTGAAATAATCCAGTCACAAAAGGACAAATACTGTATAATTCCACTTATATGAGAATAGTCAACTTCATAGAGACAGAAAATAGAATGGTGGGTGCTGGGGCCTGGGGGAAGAGGGAACAGAAAGTCAGTGTTTAATGGGGACAGAGTTTCAATTTTGCAAGATGAAAAGAGTTGTTTGGGTGGATAGCGGTGATGGTTCCACAACAATGTGAAGGTACTTAATGCCACTGAATTGTACTTTTTAAAATGGTAAATTTTATGCTATGGATATTTTATCACAATTGAAAAATAAGTAATTTTTAAAGAACCACAACAGAGCCACTCAGTTTGTAATCCAGAGCCTTGGCATCCTGGAGGACATTAGAAGGTGCCCAGGAAGACCAGCTACCTAGAGGAGAGGCAGCGGGCCAGCGGGTACAAGCGGGGAGCTCAGGATTCCTAGTGGAAGACCAGGGAGAGACCAATTGTTGTTACGTGGAAGAAATACTCCATTTTCAGCATTACTTGACTGTTTCATTTTCTAATCAGTCACTATTAGGTCCCCATCGTTTCTTAGAGATTTCAGGGCCACTGTCATTAGCATAAGATATATTCTCCAACGAAAAAGAAAGGCCCCGCCAAGAGCAAACAGTCTCCGGGAACAGAAGTAACAGGAGTTTTCTGTTTCACGGACAGGAAGGACTGTAGAGATGAGGAGAGAAGTGGTCAGACCTCTGGGGAGCACACAGGCTAAAGAACAGTGATCTAACTTCCTCTGCTGGGTGGTGCAGATCCAACAGACTGGTGGACCCGGGGCTTCAGACCTCAGGCGAAACTCTGAGTCTTCTAATCTCTATGCATGAGCCTGGGCTGTAGACTAAATAACCATTTCCTGCATATAAATATGACGTTTTCAAATTTCTGCAGACTCGTGGAAATCAATAAAATGCACATTTATTTTGAAAGGTACAGAATTCATAGTAGCTTTTGATCAGGCTGAATCAAAGGGTACTATAATTCCCAGTGTTACATTTTTCTTTATTTGGACAAAAAGGAGTACTCAGAAAATGTGAGAACTGCAGGTCTGGGTACATGATTTCTGAAGTTGGCCATTATCAGATTGTCCATCAGTCAGAACTAGGAAAACATCATAAATGTTCTCAAGATCTTAGCTGTCAACTTTGTCTACTAGTGGGACCAGGAAAATACTGTTATTATACAGCTCAACAAGGAATTTAGTGATCTGATCCACTTCAAACTTGGACAGGCTTTCTAATGGCATATCACCCAATGACATTTGGTGGTACAGCGTGAAACCAATCTCACCAGATCAGCCCAGCCCTATTGCCTGCACATTCCCCATTCAGCCTCTTCTTGGACCCATATGTAATTGAAAGTCAAGTTCACCTAGTGTAGGTGGTTCTGTGCTGCCAATCTGCTAATATGGATGTCTTTCTTGCTTCTATTCAGGATGTCGGAGGTAGATATAGAAAGGATGACATGAGCTTCCATGTGCCAGTCTGTCTGTGAGGCACATCACAGAAACTGAGTTGTCTCACAGTCAGAATTTAAACCTGGGCCCATGAGGGTCAAAGTCCTGGGCAATAGTCATGATAATACTTTCCTGTGCATGTGGAGACAAAGGGTGACACAACTGCTATTTGAGCTGAAGTAAAGGCATGCCCCTGACCAGAGATGCTCTTCCAGGACAAACCAAAGACCACTTTCAAAACGTCCATTGGTTCAGTTAATGCATGCTGATTGCCCACCACAGGCCAGTCTCTGTTATTGGGCTGGGAACTCTGGGAAAAGGACCAAAGGTCAGAAATGGGGTGAATCTCAGAGCAGCCAGGACGCAAGCAGCAAAATTGCCAAGCTGCAGCATGGGGCTCAAAACCAGGAGGCAGCCCTGTCCTGATGTGTGTGGCAGAGGAAAGACTCTGTCATAGACCTTTAGAATTATTCTCACTGATAGTAGACTCACTATGGCCATTTTGAAATGGGAGGCCGCAGTTCACAGAGGCCTAGAGCAAATGAAGTTCTGTGACAAGGAAGAACAATTCGCAACAATTTAGAGTTCATTTTAAGGAGTGGGTGTTTTGTACATTTCTTTTTAAGGAGACCATATTCTATGACCAAATTAGTTGCTATGAATAAACAACAGTGAATTTGAGCTTAATGCCTGTCACATTTTGCTGCAGCTCCCCAAGGTGAACCAACAATTTTCTGTGATAAATTCAGATATAGGTTTCTAATATATCAACAAGTGGTGTCTTAACTACAAAAGTATAAATATCAACTACATATATGAATTTGCCACTCCCCTACTCCATCAACAGATATCACCTTGTATTCAACCTTGAGCCAAATAATTGGTGTTGTATTGTAATAACTACGTATAGTGTTAAATGGGTACTAGATTTATTAGGTTGATCACCTCATAAGTTATATAAATGTCTAATCACTATGTTGTACACCTGAAACTAATATAATATTGTATGTCAACTATAATTGAAAAATAAAAAAAATATTTTAAAAATTCCAATAATTAGTGCTGTAGCAGATATACTTAAACCACTGTGAAATATCTGAGGTGTCAGGTTCCTGCAGTGATGTTATGGGGCATCTCAGAAAATCCCTTCCTTGGGCCTGTACTGGGTTGAATAGTGTCAACCCATGTCCAAATTCATGTCCATCTGAAACCTCAGAATGTGACATTATTTGGAAATGGGGTCTTCACAAATATAATTAGTTAAGATGAAATCACACTGGAGTAGGGTGGGCCCTATATCCAATGACTGGTGTCCTTCTAAGAAGAGGAGAGATGACACTCAGAAAGGAGGAGACCAAGTGAAAATGGAGGCGGACATTGGAGTGATACATCTATAAGCCGAGGAATGCCGAGGATTTCCAGCAACTACCAGAAGCCAGGAGAAAAGCAGAGAACAGATGCTCCCCCAGAGCCTCTGGTAGGAACCAACCCTGCCGACACCTTGATTTTGGACTTTCAGCTTCCACAGCTGTGAGAGGATAATTTCTGTTGTTTTAAACCACCCAGCCTATGGTAATTTATTACCCAAGGAACCAACACAAGGCCAAAGATTCCACCCCCAATCCCCATATATTGATTTTGCCTGCTGCTAGGAGACCGATGGGGTTAGCAATTGTGACTGTGGTCTTTAGCTTTCAAGGAAAGTAAATTTAGGTCTCAGCGTGCCTCATCCCAGAAAATAAGCTATATATCATCAATAAGAAAGAAAAAGATGTGTTGCTGGTAAACTGCTAAAAAATTCTTCTGTGTTTAAAAATTATGCTGGCTTGCTTTATGTATTTCTTGAAAAGAATGAGGGGGAAAACTACAGTCTATCCCTAGCCAGTAAAGGGAAGGTTGTGATTGGATGTAGCTATGTACCATTCTTTGTGACTCCAGTCCCTTTCACTACTTGCCCACATACACTCACATACCTCCTGCTGGAACAGGCAGCTGGCTGTCCCTACTGACCGGCTGTGGGCTATGAGCCACGGGCAGGGCCCCTCATTGTTAGGGTTGCCCACCTGCCCCAGGGCCCAAAAGCATTTGGGAAGTTGAAGGTCCCACCCTGAGCAGAGTCCTAGGGTGCCTCAGATCACACCTGAATGCCACTTAGCTCTGTCCCCAGTGAGAGATAGAGGAGAGTGAAAGTGTAACACTTGATTCTTGGTGTCTTGCATTTTACATCTCATTGTAATTTAAAGAATCAAAATATAGTGGCCCACCCTAAATCACCTGGGTTTAAAACTCATGCAAACAACTGCTTCAGAGGTAGAGAGGGAGGGAAGAAGAGCTGTGCCCTCGTGCCTTGGGTCACAGGTACACGGGGACTGGGAAGCCACACTGGCTCCTGCAGGCACCTGCAGGAGTGAAAGGCTGCAAGGGGGGATTGCTTTGTGTCTTAGAGAGTAAATAAGTCTCCACTTTATAGTTATAGAGATCATGGCTGTAGCCTTTATAAAGGTATATGAAACAGTGTCTGCTGAGTCCAATAATTTGGGCTTCTTTTTAAAAGGCCTACATCCCCAAACTATAAACAACAAGAAAACTCACCATGTTAATAATCTAAAGGCCCACAACCAATATACTTAACTTTGGGCTGAGAACAAAATGGTACAGTATTGATGCTGATTGGGGAGACTTTGCATTCAATAAACTAACCATACTTCATTTAGTTGGATCCCAAACTGTGTCTGACTGCTGATCCTTATCAAAATGTCCTGCTCTAGAAAAACAGATGCCAATTTCCTCTTCCTCGTCTTCCTCTCCTGCAGGTTGATGGATAATTTCTGCATTTGCGAAGGGTACAGTGTGCCTCACTGCCTCATGTATGAGATTTATGTGGAGACCTGTGGGCAAAATGCCCAGAACCACGTCAGTCCAGCCACATTTGGGAAGGTAGGTTGTCAGGATAAAAATACAGTACTTACTGAGTAAAACTAATGCTCAAGTTAATTGATGAGGAAATTTTAGAATTTGTTTGGATCTAATGGGTTCTCAATAGACATAAATGGCTTTGCTCTGGGAAGCCAACCAGATGCTTAACATACTACTTCACCTCCATGGAAAAGACATTCTGTCCTTTGTCCACACTTTATAGTGAGGACCCAGGAAAGGTAAGGAATGGGGTAACACCTAAGACAATGCAACTATGACAGCTCCAAATACTCAGCCAGGTTTGCTAAGTGGCCATTATTCTCTGTATAGACATGCCCAAACTCAGCACCACACAAATGCTAGGAGACACTCTGTGGTGTCAGACAACTGGTGCTTCCCACAATTTGATTATACTTGGAGAATGCATTGACTCTTAAATATTTCTACTGGGGGTTACAAGCTCTATCAGGAACTTCGTTTAGAATAAACAATCTACAGCAAACGGTAACACAAGGAGAGTCTATCTGAGACTTTCCACATTTAATAAATATTTATTGAGCAGGCTCTATGTACCAAGAACTATTTTAGATGCTGGATTATAACATGAACAAGACAGAGAAAAATTCCTGCCCTTATTGAACTCATTCTATTATAGTTAGGAAAGACAGATAAGTAAGATAAAATATTTAGTATATTAGGTGGGATAAATGCTAAGGGGGGAAGTAGAGAAGGAGATAAGGACTCTAAAGAAAAGGGGTATCTCATCTATTCCAATTGCAAATGTGACTGGGACTGATAGAATCTAGTCCAATCCTGTACAATAGAAATTTAATGGGGGATCCAAGATGGCGGAGTAGATAAACACTCTGCCTGCTTCTTTCTGCACACACATTAAATTACAACTAAATTACAGAACAGTCAACCTAGAGAACCATTTAAAGTCTAGCTGAACAGAAGTTTTATAGCTAAAGATATAAAAAAGAAGCCACATCAAAACTGGTAGGAGGGGTGGAGATGTGAAACAGGCCCCAACCTCCGTGTGGTGGTTGAGAATCAGGAGGGCTATCTCTGCCTCAGAGGTTCCCACAGGAGGAGCAAGGGACCACAGCCTCACACCAGGCTCCCCAGCCCAGGGTACTGGTGCCAGGAAAAGGAGCCCCCACAACAACTGGCTGTGAAAAACAATGGGGATTCCAACATCCAGGTAAGATGGAAGGCAGTGGGAAACCCAGATGTCCTCTTAAAGGGCCTCCATATAGACTCACTCGCTCTCAGGCACTCACCCTGGGCTCAGGTAGAAGAGCGGTGACTCAGCATCAGAGGTATATATCCGGGGAGGAGGTATGGGGGTTGAGGCAGGCTGAGGTGTGTGGCTTCGAAGTGAGGACTGGAGGACAGTCGCCATTTTCCCTGTGATGGGTCCTTCTCCTGTGCAGCTGGCAGGTGGGGGCCATCTTTCCTGTGTTAAGCCCTCCCCCTATGCTTATGGCCAAATCAAATCTGATTGGCATGGTGAGCTTCACTAGCTTCATCCTGCTGACTACCTGGGACCCCGCCCCTTACAACTCGCCCAACACCAGAGGCACTTTCTCTGTGAGCAGCCAACCCCATCTGAATTGCTCTCTTTCTTGGAAAACTATCAGAGTCCATGGGCTCCAGGCAAGTGGTGACTGGCCTTGGTGTGCTCTGAGACTTTTACTGAGTGGCACTGGTACTGGCACCAAATCAGAATTTATATTAACCTGGTGACAACGACTCTTCCCACTCTAGTGACTCCCTGAAACCTTGCCTCACCCAACTTGCGTACTGCACGAGGCTTTATCAGTGGCTGAACCTTAAGGGAGCTGGCAGGTGGCAGCAAGCCTTGGGGTGTCCTGCCATTTTGTGGAACTACCATAGGCCCAGTACTGGTGGTACACATCCTCAGTTCACAGCATAGCCTCTCCCATGTGCCTCCAGGGTTAGCAGAGGCCGTGAACAACCACAGATCATTTTGTAGCTCCTGCCAGGTAGTCCCTGGCTGGTCACAGGTACTGGATGACCTGGGCCTGCACAAAACCCCTCTCAAGGTCCCAGAACCAACATACTTGGAGGTTGGCTTCAGAACACAGCAGAGCACTACCCAATTAGCCCCACAAGAGGAACATCCAAAGGGCAGTCTCAACAGACACCAGAGCCTGCTGGAGTGAATACCACTCAGTGGGGTAAGCCCCTACTCTCCCCTGTACAGCAGCCTGTAAGCTGTGGACGTGGCCAAACCCCACAGTCAATCAGCCTGAGGGTCAATCCCACCCGCTGGCATGCCAATAGAAACCAAGGCTGAACTATAACAGGAGGGCACACACAACACACACAAGGTGTACTCCTGGAACACCTGGTGCAGGTGATCATGGAGACAGTGCCAATGGACCCCACAGGGCACCTACTACATAAGGCCACTTGGCCAAGACTGGGAGACATAGCAGATCTACCTAATACATAGAAACAAACAGGCAGCCAAAATAAGGAAACAAAGAAATATATCCCAAATGAAAAAATAGGAGAAAACTCCAGAAAAAGAACTAAACAAAATGAAGACAAGCAACCTACCAGATACAGAGTTCAAAACAATGGTTTTAAGGATGCTCAAGGAACTTAGTGAGAATTTCAACAAAGAGATAGCAAGCATTAAAAAGAACATAGAAACCATAAAAAGAACTAGTCAGAAGTGAAAAATACAATAACTGAAATGAATGCAGTAGAAAGAACCACCAGCTGACTAGATGAAGCAGAGGATTGAGTTACCTATTTGGAAAATAAGGTAGTAGAAAACACCAAATGGGAAAAGAAAAAAAGCATCAAAAAAAAAAATGAGGATAGTTTAAGAGACCTCTGGGACAACATTATGTATAACAACATTTGCATTGTAGGGATACCAGAAAGAGAAGAGAGAAAGCAAGGAATTGAGAATCTAATTGAAGAAATAATGTCTGAAAACTTTACTAACCTGGCAAAGGAAATAGACATACAAGTCCAGGAAGAGCAGAGTCCCAAACAAGAGGCCAACACCAAAGACACATTATAATTAGAATGCCAAAGGTTAAAGATGAAGAGAATCCAAAAAGCAGCAAAAGAAAGGCAACCAGTAACTTAAGGGAGCTTCCATAGGATTGTCAGCTGACTTCTCGACAGAAACTTTGCAGGCCAGAAGGGATAGGCACAAAATATTCAACATGATGAAAAGCAAGGATCTACAACCAAGATTACTCTATCCAGCAAAGCCATCATTTAAAATCAAAGGACAGATAAGGAGCTTCCCAGACAAAAAAAGCTGAAGGAGTTCATCACCACCAAACCAGTATTACAAGGAATGTTACAGGGGCTTCTTTCAAGATGAAAAATAAAAGATCAAAATTATGAATAATAAAATGGCAATAGCTACATATCTACCAACAATTACTTTCAATATAAATGGACTAAATGCCCTAATCAAAAGACATAGGAGGGATGAATGAATAATAAAACAAAATCCTTACATATGCTGCCTGCAAGAGACTCACTTCAGATTGAAAGACATACACAGATGGAAATAAAGGGATGAAAAATGTTATTTCATGAAAATGCAAAACAAACCTCCCCCCAAAAAAACAAACAAACAACAAAAAAGCTGGAGTAGCAATACTTATACCAGACAAAATAGATTTTTTTTTCTAACTTGTAGGAATCTTTTTATGAGTTTATTTGAGCCAAATTGACGACATATTCTGGGAAGTAAGATCTTAACTGCTCCCCAGACAGAACAGACTTTAAAACAAAGGCTGTAACAAGAGATGAAGAAGGACCCAGTAATCCTACGTCTGAGTATTTATTCGAAGAAACCCAAAACGCTTAGAGGGAACGTGTGCGTCCATATGTTCATTGCAGCATTGTTTACAATGGCCAAGATGTGGAGGCAGCCTGGGTGTCCATCGATGGATGAATGGATAAAGAAGGGGTGGTACATATATACCATGGAATATTGCTCGGCCATGGAATGGAATGGAATGGGTTCTTGTTATCTGCAGTGGTATGGATGGACCTGGAAAGTATTGTACTGAGTGGAATATCAGAGAAAAACAGATTCAGTGTGATTTCACTTATACTCATATATGGAATCTAAAGAACACAATAAACAAACAAAACAGAAACAAATTCATAGATACAGAGAACATATTTGTGGTTGCCAGATGGGGTGGGGCGGGGGGAGGGCATGGTTAGGGATTGTGAAAAAAGGGGAGGGGATTAAGGAGTACAAATTGGTTGTTACAAAATAGTTATGGGGATGTAGGGTATAGCATAAGGAATACAGTCAATAATATTGTAATAACCATGTATGTTGTCAGATGGGTACTAGATTTCTTGGTGTGATAGATGGGAGGGGGTTAAGGGCAGGGTAAGAAAGGTGAAGGGATTAAATAGTACAAATTGGTAGTTACAAAATAGTCATGGGGCTGTGAAGTAAAGCATAGGGAATATAGTCAATGATATGGTAATAACTATGTATAATGCCAGGGTGGGTACTAGACTAGTCAGGAGGATCATTTCTTAAATTATATAAATCTCTAACCACTATGCTGTGCACCTGAAATTAATATAAAATAAAATTGACTCTCAACTGTAATTGAAAAATTTTAAAAGGTGGGAAAAAAGGTGAAGGAGAATAAGAAGTCCACATTTCCAGGTATAAAACAAATAAGCCGTGGGGATGTAATGCACAGCATGGGAATACAGTCAGTAATATTGTGATAGCATGGTACAGTGTCAGATGGTTGCTGGACTTATCATGGTGCTCACTTCTTTAGGTAGAAAATGTTGAATAACTATGTTGTACCCCTGAAACTAATATAATATTGTATGTTAGCTATTATATATTTTTCATAAAAATCAAAGAAATTTAATAGGAGCCATAGACATAATTTTAAATATTTTAGTATCCTCGTTTTTAAAGTTTTTAAAAAGGTGACAATTTTTAAATGTAATCCAAAATATTAGCAATATTACCT